TTTTTTCCCTGAGACAGAGTTTTGCTCTGTTGCCCAGGCTGGAGTGCAGTGGCATGATTTTGGCTCACTGCAACATCTGCCTCCCAGGTTCAAGTGATTCTGCTGCCTCGGCCTCTGGAATAGCTGGGATCACAGGTGCCCACCACCATGCCTGGCAAATATTTGTATTTTTAGTAGAGACAAGGTTTCAGGAGGTTGGCCAGGCTGGTCTTGAACTCCTGACCTCAGGTGGTCTACCTGCCTAGGACTTCCAAAGTGCTAGGATTACAGGCATGAGCCATGGCACCTGGCCCAGTTTGCCCTTTTTTTAAATCCAGTTATCTGTTTATCACTAAGTGTAGTTAATTGATTGACTTGCAGTTTAAAAATATATATTCTACATACAACTTCATTGTCAGATACATGTTGAGAATGTTTTCTTCCTGTGCATGGCTTGAGGGAAGTATAATATGTATCTTCATAGTTTATAGTTTTAATATAATTTATAATAAACATTAAATGTAATTAATATGTTGTAAGATGTCTGATGAGCAGGTGTTTTAATTAGGCAGTTTAATTTATCAAAAATATTTAAGTTCATCCTTTTGTATTCTATATAAGAAATCTTTGCTTAACCCAAGGTTGCAGAGATAATCTATGTTTCCTTCTCTGTAGTTTTTGCTTACATTTAGGTCTACAATACATAAACTGTGTGTGTGTGTGTGTGTGTGTATGTGTGTGTGCGCGCGCGCCCACGCGTGTGTGTGCATGTTAAAGCAATACTACATTATTACGATGATTGCAGCGTTATAGCAGGTTGTAAAATCAGTTTCCAACGTTAGTTTTATTTTTTTCAAGACTGTTTTGGCTATTCTAAGTCCTTTGCATTTCCAAGTACATCTTAGAATTAATTTGCAGATTTTTGCAAAAAGTCTGCAGAGATTTTTTTCAATCTTTTCTCATTCTTTGTTCATAGAGGTTTTGGATTTTGTTTTGTTTTGTTTTGTTTTCAAATTTTCCATGTCACTTATTTTTTTCTTCTGCAGTTTCAAGTGTGCTGTTAAGCCCTACCCAGTGAATTTTTAATGTAGGATATTATATTTTTTTAATTCTAAAAGTTTCATTTGGTTGTCTTCTGTAGTTTCCAGTTTTCTACTAAGATTTGTTATGTTTACTCATTATATTTCTTTTGAATCCTTAAAGGTGCTATCATAGCTATTTTAAAGGTCTCATCTGCTAATTTCAACATTGTCATTTCAAGTCTGCCTCTATTGACTTGTTGCTGTTGTTGCAAGTGAAATTTTTCACTTCCTTTGCACATCTAGTAAAATTTTTTGATATGCTGCTGTGAATCCTAATTGTAGAATCTGTATTTTCTTGTCTTCCTTAATAATTGCTGAATTTTTCTCTGGTAGGAAATTAATTTCCTTATGAATCAGTTGCTCCTTTTAAGGCCTGTGAATAAGCTTTGCCAGGACAGAGTCTTTTGAACTAAAGTGGCCTCTCTCCGAAAGTGTGTGATTGATCTCAGCTGCATGCCCAGGGTGTCGGTGAGCCCTCTCTACTTTGGTTGGTCAGAACTCTTGTGACTCCCAGCTCTTTGTGCCCCTGGCATCTTCATTTCACTCGCACCAACAGATCTACATTGTTGTACCTTATCGTTTTCCCTGGACATGAACAAGGAGGTTAATATTTGACCAAGTCCTAAAAGAACCTTTCTGCAGATTTCTGGCATTTCTTCTCTATGCAGTTCCTAGTTCTCTTCTCTCGGGGTGTCTGGTCCAAAATTTTGGCCTCAAACTCAGAATGTGTTCCTTCTCAGCTCAGCAAGACCCCTGGGTTCTGCTTTGGCTCTACCTCCCTGTGTCTAGACAGAGAGCTAGGGCCACTGGGGGGCTTTATCATGTTATTTCTTTCTCCTAGGAACCACAATTTTGCACTGAATGTCTTCCAACATCTGAAACAGTTGCTTCAAATATTTTGTCCAGTTTTATAATGGTTTATGGCTGGATGAGTTGCTCGTTACTAATTATTTTGTCGTGACTGGGAATGGAAGCTACCCGTAGCATTATTTATGAATCTAGAAAAACATAAGTATACTAGGCCTCAAACATTTTCTTTCTCTTCCACATTTGGTGTCATCTCTGAAACCAGAATTCCAGTTTTGTTTCTGTACCACTACTAGAATATGCCCAGTTGTGAAGCGGAGTGAAAGTATTTGCAAAAGACAGTGTATCCCCTCCTGTAAGATGAAATTCCATGTTAGGATGTATCTTATAGGGGAGCTCTAAAAAATATTTGGAATTTGAATTTTATTTACAGCAACTTTACTTTTTTATCATGAACAGATAGCTCCTGAGGATGACTTAGGCCGCAAAGGTGTTTAGGTGGAAATACAATATCTTATGGCATTTTAAGGCATTTTATTTATGTGAAGACAGGGATTAATTTTAGATTTCTATCATGTTTGAAATATAGTATGTAATATTTTATAATGAACAAAGTGTTCTCCAATCAGATTATCACTATAAGTTGTCTGGTATGTTTTCACAGGGAAATTGTTTTGTGTTGTGTTTATTTCCTCTGTGGTATTATAAGAAAATTTTAAAGTTAACTGCCTTATGTATTCATTTAAAAAAACTCCCCAAATTATTATTCCTAATAAGGGGAAATATGAAAGTATCAAAATATTATTATATCACTTTTTCAGGTCAGCTGAGTATGGGGGTTATTCTCCAGGGTAAATATGTGTTCAGCTTGTGGAAAGAATCATTAATGTCTCCTCAAAATAAAAGAACTCTTTTGGTTATAATAGGAGGTGGAGGACAATCCAAGCCAATCTTTCCACTTGTGCTACCAAACGCCTCCTTTTTTGAAAGTCTTCAGTTTCAATGGAAATAAAGGGCAGCAGATAATGAATGCTTTGTTCATTTTGACTTAACAAGAGGCCTTTTAGGAGGCTCACCTAAGGAACCAGTCTTCCAGATGTTACCACTGTAACTCTGTGGCTTATTATGACTTCCTGAACTTTGCTAAGAAAAAAGAAATATTTACGATACTGCCACCCAATAAAATGTTATGAAAAATTTCTACACTTAAGTAATCGTGTCCTCACTGTGAACTGCTCTATTAGTCTCTGCAACCACATATAGATTTATTTTCTCTCAACATGCCAGTGGTACATCCCTACTGTGACTACATAAGTCTTGTTAGATTGTCTTGTATTTATTACACAGACGGTCTTTAGGCAAAGCACACTATATATTCTTTTTCCTAATATTTCAATATGCATTGTATGGGCAGAAGCAACTCATAATAGAAGAGAATTTGAATTCTGACTCTGCCATTTACTAACCAAATGACTTTGAGCAAATTATTTAACCTTTCCATCTTTGACTTTATATGTTAAAGGGTTGTTTAGGATAGTATCTGGTCCACAAAGGAGTTGTAAAAATTAAAGGAGTTAACACAGGACATAACATGTTGTTTTCATTATTATTATCATTACTACCACGACTGTTTACAGAGCGCTTTAAAATTAGCTTATTTCATCTTCACAACAAATCCTTAAAGTAAATATTGCTATCCTTATTTTATAAATAAGAAAAACTTAAACCTAGGTCTCCTAGCTCTAAAAGGCTATACTCTTGTCTTAATTATCATAATGTTGAAACATTCAGGTGTTTTTAATGGCTATGATGAGCCTTCACTAATTTTAGCTTGGTCATTTTCTTAAATAATAATTTCATAAGAATATTTTTAGTGTAATCCAAAAATTTCATTGGCAAAGAGAATTCAAGATCATAATACATTTCTATAAATAGAAAATGTGCCTTTATCTGCTTCATATCTTTTCCAATTAGAATACAGAACTTATACATTATAGGATGAGAAAAAGTTTAAATATTTAATACCTTGGCTGGCATATAGCATGTCAAGTCCTCTCCATGCTTCTTTTTCCATCTAAATACAAGTATCCTAAATTTCTGATCTCTTAATCTTTTGAGAAGTTATTTTTTTTATCCTAGTTTTCAACACCTAGGTATACATGACCTTCCCCATCAGAGTGGACAATCTGCTTTTCAAAACATTTGCAGCAATACCTACTAAAAGACTAGTCTCTCTAGTACTATTTTTGTGTTACCCATATAATAGATTCTGAATTTTTTTCCATTCCCAAAGTCTCCACAAGCCTAACTACATTTCAGAAAAAGAGTCACCTAAATGCTAGTAATTATATCAAGTTATCAACCCATAGAAAAATAACCACAGCATGTGCAGTTCTCTTGGAATCCTTTTAGGACTTGTCTTAGCCTGAGTCTGTGATTTAGGTTACTTTCCACTTCTTTTAAGAGCTAAGCACAACCTAAGTAGAGGAAAAGTCTTTGAAGTGCAAGCTGGTTGACCATTTCCTGCGCAGGGTAACCAATCCCATTGAAAATGTCTTGGAATTGTCCCTAGCTTCATCAGTAAGTGCTGGGAGATGACGTCACTGTGGGATTTCAACCGAACTTTAGGTTCTGATAAACAATGCGGTGTTGGTAGTCGCCACTGGTGAATTCTTTTTCTCTTGGGAGGTGCCAGCCAAGTTCCTTATTCATTTTCAAGCTTCATTGAAAGAATAACAAAGGGTAAGACAGAAAGAGCTTGGGGGTGGTCAGGCCTCTAGGAGGATCCTCTGTTAAAGTCAGTGAGCATAGATGACAATATTTTGGTTTAGTCCCACTCTTCTTTGTGTATAAATTAAGGAAATAACTGTAGTTTTTTGGATAACAGGCTATTTCCAACTTACCATCACTTGTCTCCTGTGTCACTCTTCTTCCTAACCCTGTGGCAGAATGCAGATCTCAAGGGTTATGTTGAATTTAATCCTTTTCTTACATGGGTGAATATATTCGGGAGACTGTAGAGTGCAAAAGTGGCGGTAAAAGCCCTTCCAATGGCAACAATAACGATGAAAAGACCCAACAGGCAGTTTTGTACGCTTTATCCTGAACAAAAGCCAAGAGTACATTGTCACCAAACAATGAATAAAAACAATATTAGAGTTTCTACAGAAATCGGTGCATGGAAATTCCCTGCTTATTAAGCTGTTTCCATTATGAGATGTTCCCCTATATTAAAATTTTCATACCATAATACATCCATCATCTGGATATTCTGAAGGGTTTTATTTTTTCAAGGAAAACTACCTCAGTAAACTTCTATAAAAACAGGTTTCCATTTTCTTCAAGAAACAAGGCTGATTTGCCAATGAAAATAAATAAATAGAATATATCTCATAATTTTTATCCTAATGGCTTCACAGAAAATTAAACCACTTGCCAAAAATCATGGCTATTTGGTCGGTTGTGAATATTTCAGATTTGGAGGAATATTATCAGATCCTAAATTAATGGAACCAGAGCCTCTTTTTAACCTGTTCTCAACATCCCTTTCTACTAAAAAAAAATTCCTTATACTTTCATCCCAACCTCTAATTTCAAGAATCACCATCCCTCCTATCCTTCCCAAAGGCATCCCCAAAACAATAAAAAATAAAACTTACTGGAGCAGACTGAGAACAAGCAGTTTAGCGTGCTGTCCCTCCTATAATTCAATGTACCTGAAATGAGCATTAGTATTAGAACTCAATTCATGAGGGTTATTTTTACTGTAGTTACATAAAATAAATCTTAGGCATTTACCTTAGGGATTGCATAAGGTCAGTCTTGCATCCAAGTTTTTAATGACTAACATTGTTTATTCTAACTCCTGTTTTCTTTTACCCTCCTATAAACTGCCACCTCAAGATCACTCAAGCCTTTATTTACTCACATACAACTCTGGGTAAGGTAAGAGAAAACACAAGCCCAGAGTGAAGTTTTATATGAGTCAGTAAGGCACACCCGTGTCCCAAATGGAACATGTAAACCAGGGAATCATTTTGAGTTGCAAGGTTCAGCAGTGAAACTCTGTAGTTTTCTTGGCCCTTACAAAACCAGGTCACAGCTGCCTGGCTTCCTAATTTGGTTTGATGTACTGTGAATTCCCAAGGGGGTGAGTCATTCTCTTATTCATATGGAAGTACAGGAACCATACCAAAATAAAGACCAGTCTGAGTTTATTTATGATTTTATAGGCTCTTTACTGCCCCACTATACAGACGATCCAGAGTCAACTTTCAGCTGTTACTTACCATATTGGAGAGGAGATACATGACATTTTTCATCTTCTGAGTTATCTGACTTCTTTACTGTGAATATTCCCTAAGATAATATTCCCAGGCACTTGCTTTCTTCTGCTTAGGAATGCTTCACTGAAGATAGATATCTATTATGAAACAATGAATGCAAAATCAGTCACATATAGAGAAAATGAAAGTAGTAAAATTAACAACAGAATACCTTAAGAAATAGTCTGTGTTAAGTCAATGTAATAGCATTATTGTACATTACTCTTGTTACCTACTAAGTGTATAAGAACATCATAAATACCTTGCTTTATAGACTTGATGAGGCAGAAGGATGTTCCCTGTGAGTTATCAAATTAAGATTCAGGATGGCTTTATGATTTGTTCCATCTTAGAATTTGGCTATGTTCTATCTCTTTGTGATTTCCCAGAGCCAACCACTTCACAGTATTTGGGCTTCTGCCAGTGGCTATAGCACAGATGCTTTTAATAAAGGGATCCAATCACCTTCTGGAAAACCTTGCTCTACTAGAACTTTCAAGAGATATCAATCCTGTTTTATTAGGGTTTATTTAAAAAAAAGAAAAGAAAAAGGAAACAAGTAGCCAACACAATCTATGCAGTCTGCTTTGTCCCTTCTTTTGTCACACAAAATAGAATATTTCTCTTGAAAAAGGCTCATGCAATTCTGTAACTATATATTGAGTGCCTACTGTATGCCAAACTCTGCACTAGGCATGGAGACACCAAGAAGATGGATGACTTGCCTTAGAGCTATTACAGAGATGCAATATTACTTTATTAAAATATCTGATCATTAAAATTAACCTGTAAGTTGTATAGAGATCTTTGTATAAATATCACATTTCATGGGATATTTGAAATGTAAAATTGACACTAATTTTTATATATGAAGTGTTTAGTATACGACTAGTAAAGCTTCATAAACAGTGGGAAAGTGATGGGTCATTCCACAAATGGTATAGGTAAAACTGACTTTTTAGAAAAAGGTAGGTTATACTAATCTCAGATAAAACATTACAAAGTAGATTAATAGTTGTTTGTATGAAGAACACTATAAAATAGAAGAACAATATAAAATAGATCACATAAAGTGGTCTTAGCATAGGGAAGGCGTTTCAAGGTATAAAAGTCATGAAGGAGACAGCAAATGTCAAACTTGACATCATAAAAATGTAGAAATTAGACATGGAAATTTTATAAAATTAAAACACAAGTGACAAACTTGAAATATACTTATAAAATATGACAATGAATTAATATCATTTATAATCAAAGAAATTTTATGAATCAGTTACTGTTACCAACCACACAATAGGAAAATAACAAGTGAGATGTTTAGAAGTACACAGTAGAATAAATTCAAAGAAATGATGGACACAAACATACATTAAACCTCACTAGTAATCTAAGGAATCTAATGAAAGCAATAATGAATAACTGCTTATCCAGTTGACAAACTATTTTAATGTAAAAACAATTAATGATGGGAAGGTGCACAGGTAATCTCATTTAATTCTGGCCAAAACTAGAATACAAACATTTTCTAGAACTGTGTTTAATAGAAAGTATTTAGAAAAAGTTTAAATTTATTATTCTTTCATTCAATAATTCTTGTTCTAGAAAAATTTTCTAACCTAAAGAAAACACATAAAAATACATTCATCACAATGCTCATTATCTTAAAAAATTGGAAATCATTTAATTGTTCTAATGTAGAAATAGATACAGTCTATCCAAAGGATAGAATTATCTTTTTCAAAATTAGAAAGCTCTTGCGATACTGATAAGTCCAAAATCTTAGATACATTAAAATAAACAATTTTTTAAATGCGTGTTTGTTCAACAAATAAGTTAAACATTTATTCAGCAAATAAGTTAATTAAACATTTACTATGTGGCAGGCATTGCCCTAAGCACTTAATGCATTTAATCTCTTTTAATATTCTATTTTATCTCAGCTAATACCCTTTGTATTATCTATTTTAATACAAAAACTCTATGAAATAGGTGCTATTTTTATCCTCACCTTAAATATGGAGAAACTGAGGCACTTGCTTAAAAAGTTACCTAGTATCATCCAGTAATTTTTGAAACAAACGAAATTCCTAATCTCATACAGTTTACAATATAAAAGAGAGAGAGATGAATCAAAGAACTACCAAAATAAATATAGAATTATAGCAGTGATCATAACCCACAAAGTAGAAGCCCATTCTACAGGGATTGACCTAGTTGGCTAGATGAAAGAATGCTTGCTCTGGAGGACAATACTTGAGCTGATAATTTAAGCAAAAGTGAGACTTAGCTGAAGAGATAAGAGAAGAATATTCTAGATGGAGGGAATAGGATGTGAAAAAACCTCTCTGGTTGGCAGGTTATGGCATTCTAGAGAAACTGAGGAAGCTAAGATGGAGATGAAACAGAATCTGGAGGGAGTGTAACGTGGGGCCACCCCCACAGCTCTACCATGTGGCACAAAGAGGCCCTGTGTATAGATGAGCAGTCTGAGAGCCTGAGAAGCAAGGTGACTTGTCCAAAGTCACACCACCTACTTGGTGTATCTGAAACCAAACTCAGGTCTTCTGGTAGCAGGAACAGAAATTATTCTAGCACATAATGCTTGTTTACAACAGTGAATTTCAAACTCTGAGTGGTGGTATTTTTTTTTTTTTTTAATTTGTGGGATGTCACCTCTAAGTATTTTTGCTTTTTTTTTAAGTGGCAGAATCTTATGCACAATTTCCAATAAATGAAAGAGATCAAAGTATTGTAGTACTATATAGTTTTTAGTGTAAAAGTATAAAATTCACTTACAAAGTCAATCAGTGAGAAGCATAGGAAAATATAAGGAAAATTTATTAAGTTTGTTACACAGAAGTGGTTAGGTTGAGTGGGTAGGTTGGTTTTTAAAATACCAACAACAAAAAAAAGGCTGTTCTAAAAACACAAACATTTTGAAGGCTGGATGATGGATATAGTTTTATATCAAAGTCACCACACACTGTATTTGTATATTTGGGTTGTTTTTTTTTTTAATGGGAATACCTTGTTTCATATGAATAAGTAGCGGAAAATGATTAACATTTGTAATAGTTTGTATGCCAACCTGTCTCAAGATATTATTCAATTAAACTGAAACAGGAGCTGAAAGAAAAGGAGAAATTTTAATATTTTAAAAATAAATCATTAAAAATACCCAACAAACATTATATTCCCTAACTGCCAAGGGTTCAGCTTGGAAAGAGTCAGTAACAGGGTCCTCAGGCAATTTAGATCTTGAGTGAACACTGGGGAATGCTATCTTGCAACATTATAAGATGTTCAACATGTCAGTTAAAATCCCTTGGATTATCCAAAAAGGGCATACCTCACTCTCTAGCTCAGCTAGATATTCACTTGAGCTTTCAGTCAAATGTATTTCATTGCTGACACATTATTTAAAATTTTAAGTGTGACTACAGTGTGATCTTACATTGCAAAATTGAGCTGCTTCTGTTTACTACAAAAATAAGCAAGACATGCAAACTAGTAAAACCAATATTTTGAGAGGTATTTCACTAGAGGAAATTCAGCAAAAATGAATTTTTGCCAGTACCTTGCCACAAACACCCAAGGGACTTCAGCATGAAAAAAAAATCCTGAAATGAACACTGCACATATTATTTAAATAATTCTTTAAAAACAAAAAAGCAAAAGCCCTGGTTTAATAACATTTACAATTAGAATGATCTTAACGCCTTGCCTTGAAAGATCTTAATAGCTTATGCTCTCTTATGCTACCTAAATAGCTTTTCAAAAAGTGTTTCTGCAAGGCACTAGCCTATTTTTTCCCCTGACATTCATTTTGCACAAACTGTATAACTTTTTTTAAAAAAATGTTTTGTCCTTGTTTGTTTGTGTGTTGAAAATTGTAGGTGAGAAGAAGTGGATTTTCCTCACATGTCACTAGGTTCATGGCTGAGACCACTATCATAGCAGACAAACAAAAGAAAAGCATAGCAATTTATTATATAACCTTTACATGACACTAGAGCCTTCTTTAAAATATGAAGCCTGAATAATGAAGCAAACGTCTGTATTTTTTACGCAAGATTTGAGGAAGAGTGGGCAGTCATCAAGAAATATGATTATAGGACAAAGGGTGTGGTCTAATGGTACTGAATTGCGGGAAGCTTAGCAAAGCCTGTGTGTTCAGATTCTGTCTTTGGCTCCTATCCCCTGAGTATAGGGAGAGCACTTTTCGAATGAGCGTCATATGAACTGCTTGAGGCGAAGGTCAGAAAATCCCTCTTAGGTTTTATGACCTCCTTCAGGAGAGAAGAGCACGAGGAGAGGGTGGTGATCAGAAAGACCTCCCTGTTTCTACTGCTTTCTTAAATGTCATCATGCGTTACATTTTGGGGTGGCATGTCCTGAACCCTATCCAAACCAACCTAACCACTTCTACTCTGCACCAAGTGCTTAATAAATTTTCCTCATCTCTTTTCCTGCACAAATCTACTGAACAAAGAAGAAAAGTCAGCAGTAGTGATACTCTCAAAACATTGACTGATAAAGATTCTGCGTAATCTATATGAAGTCTTTGAATTAATATAGCTATTTGAATTAATGAATTCTGTTGAATTCATGTTCTTATTAAATAGAATATTTGTAGGTTATAGCACCATAATTCTAATTATTTCTTCAATAGCAGCCTATTCATCTAAAATACTTGTTAGCATACAGTTTGATGAGCTTTTTCTGGAGAAAATGTGTTTCTTCTTCACTAACAATACATTATGTCATTGCTTCAAACTTTTTCTGTAACATGTATGCTAAATTAATCTGAGAACCTTATTTCTATGCTTCCTATGCTTTGTGTTAAAATAATGTAACTTTATTTCTGGGTTCTCTTTTCTGTCCCATTGGTGTATGTGTCTGTTTCTGTACCAGTACCATGTTGATTGGTTACTGTAACCTTGTAGTATAGTTTGAAGTTCAGTAGTGTGACGCCTCCAGCTTTGTTCTTTTTGGGGGGGATTGCTTGGGTGATTTGGGCTCTTTTTTGTTTCTGTATACTTTTAGTATAGTTCTTTAAAAATTCTATTAAAAAAAGATATTGGTAGTTTGATAGAAA